TCCGTCGCGGATTCATCATCAGAGACATGAGTAGGAAACAGTAGCAGAAACGTTTCTGCTACTATTACACGTAATTTGATTGCTGTATGGTCTGTGTGTCTGTGCGTTCGGGCTTGGAGCTTGCTTCTTTCGCAGTTGGCCTTCGCAAAACGTCATTCTAATATCTATGGAAATTGAACCCACTGGATTGACCTTACTTATACTGAAAGATATTACTTGACTTATTGGAGTAATTGATTTCCCGGTCTCGTGTCAATGTCCATAGTTGGTTTGCGATGAAAGGTATCCAAATGACTCCTGTGTATCCAAAGCCACTAAAATGGAGGCGCCTATTAAATACCCCAGATTTAATCAGTCTTGGTTAAGCTCCATTAGGGAATAATACTAATTAATGCATTTGGCTTCAGCGATGATACTCATGTTACCATTCAGGAAGACAGGTTAGGCGAACGAACGTTTTCGATTAATTCAGCATCAGGCAAATACAATAGTATAAGGAAAGGTAGAGTTAACGAAAGTTTAAGCAACCAATCAGTAGTAATAAGGGGAAAAAGGGGAGAGGTGTAAAAGGACGGAAGGGCTCAGATTCTAATCTTCCTTGGCTCGCGTTTTGTTGGGAGGCGTGAGGACGCAAGGTGTCATCGTCTCATGACGGTGTGGGTGACCTGGGGATGTTTGCTGTTGCAGCCTCGTCACTATTTCGCGACGTGGTAAGACGCGTGGGGGCGGATGTTGAGTTAGCCTTCGGCCGCGGGAGCCTTAGGGCTGCTAAAAATGTCTTATGCGCACATTAGATTGGGCTAGTTGCTGAGATCAGTCCTGTGAAATTTTGAGGCGCGCAAAGAAGGAGTTGGAAACTTAACGTCTTCCCAATTTATCTTCAAAGGACTCATCAACGGATGAATCGGTATAAATCTCAGAGACCTGCCAGCAACTTGGGCTTTTATGGCTGATTACAGCAAGTTAGCAATGGTCATACTGAACTTTCTTGTCTGTTGGTAATGCTTATCGACTGTTGGGTGTCAATTGATATACTAACGATCACATATGTTGTTGACCAATTTCTGCGATGATCATTTCCATTTCAAAGCAGGAAATATCGATTGTATTCAGGTGAATTTAGGACTTCAGTCTCAAACAATGGTAGATGATCGAAGTGAAAGTCAGGAAAGTCAAATGAAACCTTCAATATATTCCACAGGAAAACCGAATCGAACTCGCGATTGTAAATATGGTATTTTCCAAAGGCCTCTCAGCAATGAGTGTCAAGGGAAAACGTCCTATCGAAAGAGAGTAACAGTTACGTAGTTTCATGGGAATTACGATGTCAACCCTTCGACAGCCTCAAACAGTCATAAGAATTATCAAACTTCCATCAAGTACCAACCTGCGTAAAGTAAAGAGACATAAATCATATGTTATACGACCAATTTTGAGCGCTGACTAACTATTAGTGAGCTGGAATAGCGCAGTTGAACACACTAAGCAACAACTTGCCCGAAGAGTATCAGCATAATAATCCCAATATTAGCTGATAATGACCATGTTAAAATGGCATTTGGATATCGAAAATCCGTATAAATTTTAGGAACGCGAACCACAAACACTTCTTTTCACAAAGTAAGAAATACAACTTTGAGCAATTTCCCGACTTAACTTATTTTATTATACATCTAACGTTTCCTCTTTGCTCAATACTTCAGCTTAAGCTTCAACTTCTACCAATTTCGGGCTCTTTTATATCCGAGTTAAAATAAAAAAAACGCACAATAAAAATTCAAATGATTTTTGCTGAATTTTATTCAGTTGGCAAATATGGAAACGACAGTTGTTTCTCACGTCCGATGGTAAGAAGCAATAAGACCAGTATGGGTAATCGAGCAATACTTATTTCCTATACTGTCTCGTTTGTGAAAAGGCTGACGACACACTTCTTCTTGGGGTGTTTGACTTTCGTATGTCTTCGCTCAGATATGGAGTCTTTATTTTACCAGTGAAAAGGCTTTGAAAGGTAACATTGTCAATGTCTCTCGGTATACAGGGTAATATAGCATCTACCATCCACGGTTGCTTGGAAGAAAGGTGGAGAAAACGTGCGAGTCCGATGCTGCCTCCGACGCTAATTGAGGCCTTTGTGGCCAGGTAATGGACTGCTTGCTGCGTATACTCCGAGTCAGATTCAGATTCGTCAGGTTCATCCTCTACTTTCCATAAGGAGCCCTTGAGAAAGTACGCGAACTCCACGTTAGTGCGCAGTCGACCATCACCATCCCGATCGAGGACGTAAAAAGATAGGGTCGCTCGGTCCGTGAACGAGCCGCGAAGCATGCAGGAAAGCAGGAGGATAAAATCATACGCAGTTATTCCATCCGAATTCAGGGAAGGCCGACCGTAACGGAGAATCTTCGCGGCTCCACGGAGGCCTTCAAGCAAATTCTGTCCAGTCAGAGAGAGTGTAGTGACAAGGAAATCTTGCAGTTCTTCATCCGTCATTGGCCGAATCTGGTAATTTGTTAGGTGATAGTAAATATGAAGAAGAATGCCCAGTTCGCAGCCAGTGAAGTGGATACGTGGATCCTTGCGCAACTCACTTATACATTGGAGGATTGCGTTGCGAACGGAAGGCGACAGTTTCTGCTGGAGATAACGCTGTCTTTCTGATCGCGTGTCGGTCTCTGCCAAAGCTCTTTCGATGAATCGTGCTGGCTTAAACATTTTGCGTTGGGCTATTAGCTCCGGCCCGACTGTGGTGAAAACAGATGGCACTATCAGATTCCAATTGTTCCCTCGACATCTAATAACTCTGTTTGCGCGTTTTCCCTGATAAGTCATTGCAGGATTGAATGAAAGGAGTAAGGACTTATCAACTTACCCAGACAATTCGAATTTCCATTAATATTGATCCATTCAGTTAGACACTTAATGGTGGAGCCATTTACTACAGACAGTGCAGTGCAGTTGTGGAACTTGGAGAAAGCTGAAAGCGGCTAGGAAGTCCCTTTCTATTTTTTGCTACCCAGGGTTATTATTTTGTCATGGTGAACGTGTCATAGGAATTACATTTTCCCATCATGCGAGCCGTTTGTCCTCCTTGAAAATCGCAAGCGGTTCAGCAATAGCTTCTGCGCGAACATGACTGTGCTATAACCATAGGCTTCCTCTTATTGCAACAACACCAGTGAGACTGCAAAAGTTCAGAATTCTCGCGGGAGTGAGGCTGCTTTCTTTCTCCCTATAAATACATCCCGGAATTACCGGCTTCGCAGGTTTAAATAAGGGCCAAATAGTAGTAAATTATACATCCGGATTTTCCCTTGCACTGTTCGGTTGAAAATGTGATAACCACGCGTCTAGCTTACCAACCGGAGTTGTGTCCTGTTTTGCGACTATAGGATGGGGGTGTAATGTAGTTTGTTTGGATACTTTTACCTTGACTGTCTTTCGCAAAAAGATGTGATTAAGGGTACAATCTGCCGCTATAAATGATGACATACG